TCTAAATCGCGCTGGTGTCGAGTCGCCGATACTTAAAGGGTAGTCGACCTTTTCCCTTCCTTGAATCTAATTACGGGGTTGAGTTAATGGTATTATGGTTATGCAAATCAAAAGTATAGGTCTCCTTACCCTGTAGGAAGGGATGAACGTACAAATACAGTGTCCTCACTACATGTATAAACACACTCACAAAAAAAAAACGGAATTAGTAGCTCAATTTACTTTCTGCTAGATTCATTTTAAACACCATAACACTATAGTAGAGCGCCAAACACAAACTCCCCCTTCCCCTCTCCTTCACCCTTACCCTCTCCCACTTTCTCTCTCACCCTGTCCCACTCCCTTTCACCTTCACCCTCCCCCCTCCTCCTTCCCTCCCTCCCTCCCTCCCTCCCTCTCCCTCTCCCTCTCCCTCTCCCTCTCCCTCTCCCCCTCTCCCACACACAAGCACGCATCACAACGAAACAATTACGGGCCAATGGCATCAGAACCGCGGGCCAGCGAATGCCAGCAGAGGGCGCGAAAGACGCCAAGAGCTCGACTCCGGACAAACGCCTTTAACGTCGAGCGAGGGTGAAGAACTTGGTAAAGAATTTATATATACATATATATATATATATATATATATATATATATATGTATATATATATATATATATATATATATATATATATATATATATATACATATAAACGGATAATTAAGATTGTTTATTAAGATAAGAGACATAAAATTGATAATCGCGATCGGCTGCATTCGATACATGATAATCAAGATATGCTAGATGTAGTTGGTGAGGTTGTATGATAAGTTAAACCTATGAAAATATAATCATAATAACATCAATGACCCCAAACAAAGAAAGTGAAAAAATATATATACACACATTCCTGTGACATAATCAGACCGTTCCCAGAATCCTTCTCCTCCTCCTCCTTCTCGCTCTCGTTCTCCTCCTCCTCTTCCTCTTCCTCCTCCTCCTTTTCTTCTTCCTCCTCCTCCTTTTCTTCCTCCTCCTCCTCCTCTTCCTCCTCTTCCCCGATTGCTATCTCGAGGTCCTCTCTTGGCAGAGTATTTTGGGACCATTGATTGACCTCTGGTTGGGATGCAGCGAGGGGTGGAGTGGGTGGAGGTGGAGTGAGAGGGCGGAGGCGGAGAGGAAGGTGGTCGAGGTGAAGAGGGAGGCGGAGGTGGAGTCGGGGTGGAGAAGGGTGGAATTGGAGTGTGGAGTGGAGGCGGAGGTGGAGTCGGGGTGGAGAAGGGTGGATTTGGAGTGGGGAGTGGAGGTGGAACGGGTGAAGGTGGAGAGGTAAAGGTGGAGAGATGTGTGGTAGGAGGTGGAGAGGGTGAAAGTGGAGAAGGAGTGGGATAGGAGGTGGAGTGACTAATGTGGGAGATACAGTAGATGGCCTGAGAAGTGGAGTAGGGAGTAGTTGGAGTGGAAAGATCAGGAAAGAACGACCGTGATTTTTTTTTCTTTTTTCGACATATTAGTTTCGAATTCGCATGACGCTCTGTTGGTCGCCTGTTCCTTGCATGACTCTTATGCTTTGCTGGATGTCCTTGCGGTTTCTATCTATGATTTGGAGGCTTTTCTATACGCTCTCGCTCTCTCTCTCTTTCTCTCTCTCTCTCTCTCTCTCTCTCTCTCTCTCTCTTACTTCATCACCCTCTCTCTCTCTCTCTCTCTTACTTCATCACCCTCTCTGGCTTCCTCTCCCACCCACCTCGTTAATAAATTAGTAAAGGCTTTTATACCTCACTTGCACCTGCCACCCACACGCCTATTCACCATCCCCCCCCTCCCCCGCCCCTCTCACATTCCCTACTCCCCACTCCACCTTCACTTCTCTGTCCCCCTCTCCTCCCCACCAGCACTCCCCCTCTCCCTCCCCCCCGATATGCCTCCTCTTCCCCCTCCAGCCCCCCCCCCCCCCCCCAACACTCCTCTGCAAAGAGCACCGAGAAGAACCTGCTGGATAAAAAGCAGATGCAGGTGATAAAATCCAAACACACCTTTGGAAGCAGAATGTTCTAGAGCTCTCATTGTCAACCGAAGAGAGAGAGAGAGAGAGAGAGAGAGAGAGAGAGAGAGAGAGAGAGAGAGAGAGAGAGAGAGAGAGAGAGAGAGAGAGAGAGAGAGAGAGAGAAAGAGAGAGATACAGACAAATAAACGAACAGATAGATAAACAGACAAGAGAGGCAAAGAGAGGCACAGACAGACAAGTAAACACGAAGAGTAAGGAAAAAAAAAACAGGTAAACAGAGAGACAAAAATAGAAATCAAGAATAAAACAGACAGAAAGACAGGGAGAATCAGAAAGAAGGAGACGAGGTCATAAATAAACGAGAAAAGGCGAGACCCCACCAGGAAGGGCGGGCGGGTAGCAAAGGGCGTCCTTGCCTCGACTTGCGATATCCATAATTTCGACTTGACCAGAAGCGGCTCGCAAATCATGGTTCCTGTTTCAGTCTGGTGGGTAAAAAGGGTGACGTATCCATCTATCTATCTACCTACTTATCTATATATCTATCTGTCTATCTATTTATCAGTTCGTCTATATGCAAGTGCATGTGCATTTCCATGTTCCTTCGCGCACGGGCGACATATATATGTATATCAATGTCTCAGTCGATGTGTCTATAATTCTATATTCGCCCCACTTCTTAAGAGAGAGAAAGAGAGAGAGAGAGAGAGAGAGAGAGAGAGAGAGAGAGAGAGAGAGAGAGAGAGAGAGAGAGAGAGAGAGAGAGAGAGAGAGAGAGACGGACAGACAAAGAGAGAAACATCCAGACAAACAGAGAAATAGACAGACGAAAGAGAACAAGAGAATGAAGAAAAGAAGAAGAAAAATTCCGCAACTCCTCTGCTCTTGCATGGAAGGGAATGGAGAAGAGGTCATTATATTCGCAGCGCCAAACGAGTCGTACGCTACTGCTCCCCCAAGTCGTACTAAGAGGGTCGTGCGTAACAGTATCAGGAGAAGCAGAAGTCGTGATGGTGACGGCGATGGCGGTGATTAAGACGACAGCGCTGGTGACTTGGTCGTGCCGGCTGACTCACGTGTGACTCCCATTCGCGGAAGGTCTGCGGTAACGAGTTGCGGGGGGAGGGAAAAGGGGGGTAGAGGGAAGAAGAGGGAGAGTGGGAGAGGGAGGAAGAGGAAAGGAGGGAAGAATAGGGAAAAGACAGGAGAGCTAGATACACAGACAGATCGACAGATATAGAAAGAGACGAATTTATCACAGACCAACAGACAGATAATCAAGCAGACAGGCAAGCAAATAGACAGGCTAAAATTCATACGAAAAAAACAACAAAAAGAGGAGAAAAGAACATAAACGCAAAAACGCAGACGACGAGAGCCCGACCGCGGATGGAGATGCTTAGACGAGGCAGCGGCCTGTGGGAAGCCCAGCAGCGCCTCCTTCAACTCCGCAAAAGGACGAGGTAGTTAGTGGCGGCAACCGTCCGTGGACAGCAGGAGCGAGAGAGTGGCGGAGGGAGACGAAAGAAAGGAAGGAATAAAAGGGGGTAAAGGGGGGGAGGGGGAAGCGGAGGTTGATAATAAGGGGGGGGGGGAGACGTGATACACTTGTAGGGTGCGGAGAAAGAGAGAGCGGTCATGCCTGACAGAGAGGACAGCTGAAGGTGGGAAGGAAACATATAACCCGCCCATTAAGGTGCTTTACCGAGCTTACAACGTTCCTCAGACCGGTGCCGTGTCTCCCAGTCGAATCATTGAATCACCAGTAAAGGATAATAACAGCCCCTAATCATTCCCCAATCATAATACCCTTCGTAAAACTGCATATTATCATATATCTATATACCGAAATACATGACCGGTTTACCATATTCCCCCATTTCGCTATGGAGGAGGAAAATCACCTTTTTATATACATCTATTAAGGGCGAATTACCCACAACGAGGCAACACTGACCGATGATTATGGCAACAGTATGGCAAGTATGCAACGTCAGCGTCGATAATGACTAGCGCCAAACCGTCTTACGAAAGACCTATCCCAAAGTAGGGGCGGCGAACTGGGAGAATTCGCGAAGAAATGTCACGATCGCCGCGGCCTTCCTGACTCAACCCGCGCACCTACACTCGCGCCTCTTTTCCGCCATCGCGTGTCTAGCGTAGGCGATTGCACCACAAATATCCTTCGCCGAATGCCGACACATAAAACGCTCATTTGCATCCGACTTACTCCAGCGCCACCGTTGCGAGAAGGGGGGAAGGGGGAGGAGAGGAGGGGAGGGAAGGAAGGAAGGAAGGAGGGGGAAGGAAGAGAGGGGGAAGGGAGAAGGAGGGGAGGGGCCGCGCACCGCTGGCCGTCGCGTTTGGGTTTCGTGTTAACCGGAGCAGCGGCGGAAGGAAAAGGTGTGATGGGCCACCTGTCGCTGTTCGAGGGTGGGGGGGCAGGAGATGGGGAAGGAGGGAAACGAGGTGGGGGAAGGGGGAAAAGGGAGGTGGGGATGGGGAGGGAGGGACTGAATGGGGTGGGAAGGGGGGCGGGGGATGGCCTGGTTCCATCTGAAAAATTCTCGCGTCCGTCAGGTGCAGCTCCCGAGACTCCCGCCGAGGATCGACCTCCTGCGCTGCGTCGCCCCCAGCCGTCCCTGCCTTGCCGTCCGCTAAGGGAGGCTTCTGCGGGTCCTGCTCGCCGCGGCCCGAGGGAGCGAGCGCCTGCGCCGGGAGCGCGGTTTCCGCGGTGTCCGGCGCTGACCCAGCTGGGGGGTTCGATGGCTCGCCGCTGGCGCCAAGCACACGCTGGCGTCAACACCGTGACTCATCACACGCCACCCTCTGCATCACGCCACACATCTGCTGTCGCTGCCGCCGTCGCCATCACCTGCGATTCATCCGACGCCGAGAGACGCTGACTCTCCATTCTCGACTCACTCGCGCCAGGCTTTTCTCTTTAAACGTCACGCAAGACTTTAGTCGGATTCGACACTATCGCCACCACAATAAACCACAAACTCTTACCATCAGCACCACAACGCATTCCGGATGTATCCAGCATCACCCACTGTCACTGAGCATCCTTGGTCTCCTTCCACAGGCCGGCACTGAATTTCCAGCATCACTGTACACAAATCCACGTTGACTGAACCGTCACCACGAACACACGAATACCAGAATCACAGCACTCACAAGCACCTCACAGCACTG